GCCACAGTGATCCACCTTAGATTAAAACTTAGATGATATAAATTCACATTTAACAAGTCACAATCTAGTGAGTCCATAACGTAATACAGTATAAGATTTTAATAAACTTGTAATTGTAAAATCAATCTAGTCATTGTCTACTAAAATAACCATTGTGCAACCTCATCCTAAATCCTAGGTTAGCTTAGTTAGCCAACAAACTCTGTAATATGTAAAACAAGGGGCGTCGTCCCCCTCTATTTAACTCATTAAACTTCTTTTCCAACCTTTCCCCCCACGACTATATGTTGTGACTTCTCTATCCCTCATGTCTGGCTGTGCCTTGAGCCCCAGCATGCCTTCCATCCTTTCCCCACCTTAACCTAAAAAAAAAAAAATAAAAAAAAAATAAAGTACAGGTGTAGCTGCTCTTCACTGTTTACTTTTCAGGGAAAAAATTCAACAAATTCAACACTGTACTGTATTGCTAATCCCTGTCTCTGGAATATTTCTTAGTGTGCTTAAGGCAAATTAATCTTGATCTCTTAAGAGAACTCTTCATTCTTGTCAAGCTATATTTTTCATCAATATTAGCATTCAATTTAGGTTTGTCAACTCTGAATGATGGACCATCATAACTGTGAAGTTACATAAAATCAGTGATGTAGCCAAGACCACAAACAAGACCATTTGTAAATTTAGCCTCCATCAATCACCTGAAGATTGGTCCTCGAAGTGTTCACCTGAAGTTTTGCTCTCCAGCTCAACCCTTTGGCTACGGAGGTTACCCTAAGCTGAATAAAATCGTCTGGCAGTAGCCAGATAAAATGGCAAGTGCGGGAATTGCAGCGAAAGGGTTAATCGAGATAGGTTTTAACCAGTCTTAAGTTTAACCACCACAAAACTGTCTTGGGGGTGATCCATAAAGTCTGAAATTGTGAATGGTCTCGTCTGCATCACTGCACACAATAGCTTTTTGATTCTTAGTTGTTCCATACTATCTAATCATACAAGGAGTCAGAATAACAAGTGACTGAGTGGGACTCAAAGTAAAAAATTCACATATTCAATCTACTGTACTAGGGACATAACTCAATAATATTAAATTTATCCCTAGTTAGGAGGTAATATTTCACACATACGTCATAAACTGTATATCAAAAGGTGATGTTCCTACTTTTAGCAGCACAGGTAACAACAGAGAGGTTATCAAGTCTCCCCCCCCCCTCCAGCTGATAAGGTTCTCATAAGTGCCATTCTATAACTTCTATAAAGTTTTAAATTGTCAACAATATCACCATTCTAAAAATATGTATATTTATTATCTTGGCAAATATTTATTATGTTGACCAAGTTATATATTCATATCTTATCATTCATACTACAGTACTGTGTATTAAAAGATAATGATACACCAGTGAAAAAGCTGATATATTTACAAAACTTACAAGTATACATTGTATTTTACAAAAACTAGCACCAAGAAAATAAATTTTACTTGCCAAAATAAAACTCAATACAAACTTTCCTAGAAAAAAATGACAAACTGACAGGACCAATTTCTAGTTCAACCACCAGTACAACAATCAAAATGTAAATAAAAGTACAGTACACTTAACATCACTATTACTGTTGAGCACATTTTTGTACTCTTGCTTGACATTCTGACCACTCCAAGTGTTGAATGAAGAAACAAGGAAGAGAGATGGGCAACATTACTCCCTAAGCCTCTACAACACTGAATCAACTTTCATCAAGTCCAAACAAAATAAGACAAATATACAATGCAACAAGAAATAAAATTCCCTTATTGTCTTCCCATGTTGAGTGAAACAAAGTACTGTAATTACAAGAACATTCCCACATTAACTGCATGCATGTTTAATACTTTAGTTTGCTCCCATCTCCATTCACTCTTCATATATAATTCATTAACAATATGCATATTACTACCATCCCTTAAACATCTTCCACAAACACTGTCAGACTTCAGCAATCCATTTACAGACTCTGTCAATCATGTCTAACATTTGCTAATACTGGTCCATTGTTCTAATGGGTCCTCAACATAACAGTACTGCTCCATCTATTTCTCAATGAAGTTCAATAAGGGGCATCTATGTTGGTGGACACTATTGTATCTGATATCTGCAGCTTGCAACATGAAACTTCAAATGAATGCACTATAATAACAGGCAAAGTTGTCATTAGTACTCAACTATTTTGTTTCCCTCTTTAAAATGTTCAATGATTCAAATTCTCCTCTGAGACACCCTGAATAACCTTACATAATTCAGGGGCAATAGTACTTCAGATTGACATGGCTATGCATTTGTTTTAATCATAATCTTGGAGAGAGAGAGAGAGAGAAAAAAAAATCCTACCCAATTCTCTCACAGCATTAACCACAGTGAATTGAATATTTCCAATGCTACATCACACACAATCAACAAAAGAAAAGTTGCTTGCAATTAAAGTTCTTTGGTCATGGGTTTTACTCATAGCAGTTACAGAACCCAAGTGTTTGTTCAATGTCTACAGCAACACCATAGTAACAGTTATCACTAAACAAACACAGGTGTAAAGGTAATTACAGGCTTGACCATATCACAAGAATATAAATACCCTAATGTACCACCAAAAGAAATAAAGCAAATCACATAAATAACTTATCATTCTTCCTGCCTCAGTAAAGTGCAAAATTTCAACTGTGATGGAGCCATTTCAAGATTCAAGAACTATTCATAGCTAAGCTGCCTTTAATCTATCATTATTTCTAAGTCACCAACAGAGCACTGTACTGTACATGAACATACATCCCACAATAGCATACCTCTCTTACATAAGATGACAATTAAAAATTTAATTTAGTGCATTTTTTTAAATTGACTATCTAATAAAATATCTGATCAGTCATTTGTATTTCGTAAAATAATGGAGATAAAAACATACAAAGGACACTATTAGTAATTTAAATGTTCTGTCCTCACACAGCATCAACAACAACAAAATCATGGGGTAAATTCAAATTATGTTATGAGGTCACGCAGCCCAGAGATCAACTAATGCTTGCCACACTTTTACAGAGACACAAGATAGATGCAGAAGACATAAGTATGCAGTTCTCATTAAATTAATTATATGAACTGCAAATACCCTGTATATATTCAGGTAATTTAAATGTTGGATAAAAAGTTATACTGTATTAAAATTTTACATTTTTGTCTGATGTTTTGTCAAGAACACATTCATTAATACTGTACAGTATTCCTCTTCATGGCAAGTTTGGTTTTAGCCACAGGAATACACATCACTTAGAACACAGTATTTAGACAAACAAATTAAACCTTACATGGTCAACATTTAGGTTGCCCTTCCCTTATAAGTGAACAATATATAACAACTAGACCACATACATATTAGCTAGTATATATATACAGTATACAGGGGGTCCCCGGGTTATGAATGGGTTCCGTTCCTGAGGACGTTCTTAAGTCAGATTTGTACACAAGTCGGAACACTTGCTTGTGTATACCATACTTACAGAACAAGGTTTACAATCCCACAATATCATAGCCTAAGTCCTTATATACAGTACAGTAGTACCTCGATTTCCGTGGTCAATTGAACCCATGGGGTACCGCGGAAAGTGAAAACCGCGTAAAGTGAACAACAGAACATATGGGATTAATTCCAATAGAGACTGGCCCGACCCCCAAACTCCACTTTTTCAGACACAATACCTACGTTGTAGTAAAAATTACATCTTAATTTTATGATGGTATGCACACACAATTAATAATTAAGAGAAATATCAATAATATTAGTTTTTTTTACACTTACATTAGTAGAAAAGATGGCTGGGCACACAGGGATGGGGGGTTGGTTCCGAGGCAGAGGGCAGATTATTGGCCCTCACCTGTATCACTTGTATCAATTGTATCACTATCCACCACATAGACTTGCAGGGCCTCTTTGTCAAACCCCTCAAAGTCCATATAAGTCCATATCCTCACTATCACTATCACTGATTTGGGCCGGCTGTGGTGGGTGGCGGGTGAAGAACTCGGTAATGTTTTGATGACTGGGCGACCTTGTGTGCATCCTGCCCACGCCGCTTCCCGCGTATATGAGTAGATGCACTGTGTAAAGTGAAAGTCCGGTTCTGGCGAGGTACCGCGTAAATGCGAAATCGCAGAAAGTGAAACCGTGTAAAGCGGGGTATTACTGTACATCTAAAATCAATTAATTTGAGACAAAAGAAAAAATAGAATGACAAAATACAGTAAATAAAGTAAAAAATAAGTCACCGGGTAAATAAAATATTATAAATTTCAAGTTTAACTTCGTTCATATCGGCAGACGTTCGTAAGTCGGGGACACCCTGTACAGTATATATAGAGTAAATAAAAAAATTCTGATAACCAATCAAAGGAAAAATTTGCTCACCAAACTGTCCACTGCTAATTTAACACATTAAGCACCACCTTGTTACACATGACTGGGCCTTCTACAGTACAGTAATTGATACAGAAATTTAAGCAAAACAAACTGCTTTCATTATCGTCAGTTACACCATCATCATCATTGAAAATAATGCACCAAATGTAAAAAAATATTTTTTTAAACGAAACAAATTTATTCCATTTTGAACATGACACAACATCATGGCCAACTGCTTAAGTCATACATTACTACAGTACTTCAATTATATAGAGCTATAAAAAATAATAATAATAAATTAATAAAGTATACAGTATTAAAATCTGGGCTTCTTTTTCAATGACCCTGTACTGATACATGACAAATCCAAAACTAACCTCACAGAACTGCAAACAATAAACTACATAAAAATGCAGAGGCACTGACACTCAGATTATATATCTGGTATTAAATAAAAATATACAATAGTATGACATCACACCACAAAGTTTATACTGTATTCAGACACAGATGTTGAACATATGTACAATCTTCCTTAAATTATCATTCAGAACCCTTGAAACACAGGGAGTACTGACCAGGAAGTGTAACATCATGCACAACAATGATTTTTCAACCACACTGAGGTGATATTTTACATGATTAATTAAATCTATTGATATTCTAAAAAAAAAAAATATTAATTTCAGGAGGCCTTTACAAATCAACTGTTATGAGTGTATTGAAATACCGTAACCATAAGGAATACTCTACTTTCTAGATCCTTACTAGAGGATGTAATATATCACAGGGTACAGTACAGTATTTAAACTTCCACTTTATGGTCATTTTTGACCTACACACCATACCAATATACTGTACTGTACTGTACATACACTAGTTGTTTACCGAGGCTCACAACAACTCAAGCCGATTTTCTTTTGCAATATAATCTTTGAATTTTCTGTGCATTTACGACATTTTGACACTAAACACTTTGGACAACTCTTCTAGTTTGTGATTCCGACAAACTTGTTCCACTCCCTTTTCTTTTAATTTGTTATGAGCAGGTTTTGATGATTTTGACAGAAGGCAGAGGAAATCCTCAAAGGCACTTTTGAGTCCAGTATCTAATCCTCCTTCACGGACTGACAATAAAGTTGTGATAATTGTCTGTGGCCAATCACTTTCTATTAAGAAATCACAGAGCCACGGGATTAACGGGAGAAGAAGACTTAATGTATGCATACCTAAAAACCAGATATCCATAAGGCTACCCCAATGAAATTCATACTTTGAGGACACAACTAAAGTTGCATAGTCCCTACTCTCCTCAATATTATGAGCATCCCATAGAAAGCGAACAGTAGACTGCACAAATCTAAATATTGTAAAGTCTGTACTTTTAACACTCTTGTGTTGGTGACGCAGAATCATGAGTCCTAAAGTGGAAGAATTACCGCACAACCTGAGGTAACGAACCTCCAAGGGTATTTCTGGTACTTTAGTAAAAACAAATTTCAGAAGCGTATAGTAAAACAGATCAGTTTTAACTCTTTGTGGTTCTTGAACCACTATATTCATGAATATATTGCTTATGGTGTCCATAGCCTCACAAGCAGAGCGAACCTTATCTGAGGGGATTTCTAATTCTTCCTCTTTATTCTGAGGGCCAAATATGCCTTTTATGCTATTCCAGTGATAATTGAAATATTCAAACAATAAATTTTCTATTTCAAGTTCAAGCAAAATATGCCGAGGAAAATCTTCTGCAGTTAGATGACACAAGCCAGGAAGTAAGAATCTCAGTACATCTGGCAGTCTGTCTTTGCTCTCCTCCTTGTAATAACTCTTAGACTGGCCCTTTTTCTTGGATTTCATTACAGCTTTCCTTTTGTTGTGTTCAAAGTTGTACCTTGATATTTTAATAATGAAGGGTATGGTTTGGTATACCTCTTCCTTGTTAGCTGCTGTTTCTTCTGCCAACCATGCTCCCAAAACACGAATAGTTGCACAAACAAACAGATGATTCACAGAATTCTCTAAAAAAGAATCATCAACTGAAGCTCCATTTAAAAATGTAAGAACTGCTTTAAAAGCCCCTTTTAAGGCAGCATACAGCTGTTGTTTCTGCTTTTGCTCAAAATCAACAGCACCATTGACAAGGAAGATTATAGCTAATTCTAATATAGTGTAACAAGCAGTAGTTGGAGAGGCAAGGGCAACAGCTTCTTCAAAAGTCTTGTCCTCTAGACTCATTCGAACTTCAATGCATGCCAGGTGAACCAGTAGCAGCAGTAACTGTCTACCTTTGGTTTCCCCTGTTGCTTCATTCTCCACCTGTAATACCCAACTTACCCCAAGAGTTTCCATTGCTGTCCCTGCTAACTTTAAACCTCTGTCACGTTGCTCACGACTTAATTTGCTGAATATTATATCAGAGAGACCTTTATGTAAATTTTTTTTCCATTCTGGTTGACCACTCTCAACAGTAAGTAATGGAAGGCTTTGTAAAAGTTCCGAGAGAGTATCACACAACTTAAACTTAATCTCCCCTTGATCAACAGCAAACTCGTGAGCAACATGGTTCATGAGCTTTATGAATGCTTCTGGCTCATCTTCCCATGTTCTTGCACCCTCTTCTGTCACAACCATCAAAAGAATCTCCAGAGCATCATCATAGCAGTAACCTTCTGCTGTGTAAGCATCTACAAGTGACCCTACAGCTTCAAAATCAATTATAGCTTTTCTTCCACCCTTTTCAGAGGCTATGCTTTTCATACATTGGTAAGAATCTTTAATTAAGGTTAGATCTCCATCACTCGTATCTGCTGACATTGCAATGAACTCGCTCAATACTGGAATGAGTGCATATAAAGTTGGATTGCCTAAACATGAGGATATAAAGCAAGTTAATATGGTCATGGCAATAGACTTAAACATAAAGGGTGGACAACCTTCAGGAACTTCGTCGGTTCGTAAGAGACGAGCTAAAAAATGCAAACCCATAGCTTCCATAAGGCTTTTCTTACATGATTCATCAAACTCTTCTACTTTAATAAGTTTTGTTAACATTAAGAGTGCTGCAAATCTCTCAGTATCAGTATTTGCTCTCCTAAGAATCAAAATGCCACGTTCAACTGGGCTAGACATTGTTGGCAATTCCCTGACTGTTTTTTCCCCTTTTCCTTTAGCATCATCCATTTCCATCTGGTCTGATTCACTGTTAGCTTCAGGTTGATCGGCATCTGGCGTTGAGGGCCGGCTATCTCCACAGCTCCCCATATTTTCCAATTAGTTACGTCTTTGCATAAACTGAAAGCAAAGGGATTTTTCAATGTATACTATAAATTCAACAAAAAATACTTAAGAGTACAGTATTCATAAAATTACTGTATTACCAAAACTAAAGTAGAACAATCTCATACACTGAGTCTACAAAGTTGATAATACAGGGTCCTTAATAAAATGTAGAAAAGTTTTAGTTTAAACTTGATTAACCTTAATAAGAATATCTTTAACGGTATTACGTTGCATATCTAAAACTTTATTTGAGAAAATCAAGACATGAAGGACTCAAAAAATAGTTTTCTCTTTAAACTCATGATCACAAGTTTCATATCTGATATTAAACACACACTTTTATAGGCCTACCCCACAAAAAATTTGTATACAGTATGGACAATATATAAAGAAATGATCTTGAAACCCCATTTTGTGACCAAGGCTTGACAAGCAACTCACAAATTATCCAACCAGGTCTATACTGTGAAGGGATAAAATCCAAAAACCCTTATACTGTACTGTACTGTAACTTAAGGAGCAGGGACTAATTAATTAATAACTCCTTTCCACTGAAATTCGAGCCAATAAAAGTGGGCCTTGGAAAGCACAGTCACCGCTAAAGATCGACGTCAATTGGACATGAACATCACATCTTGTTTGGATAATTAATACCTCACTTTCAGCTGACTTCAAGGTAACAGTTTAGGAAGAAGGAGGGGAACTGAATCACTCAGTCTACAAGCAGTCATAGAATGGAATACCAAGATCATTCTTCCTCACATATCCTTGAGTCTGATCTGAAAGACTCCTGTATCTGAAACCATCTAGAAAGAGGGAGGTGGTGGCAATAATATACACTCCACCAAGAGAGATTACTATACAAATACTATACAGTAAGGTACAAAACCTCTTTTTCTAAGTGCTGGTTAATCATTGTCTATAGAATGGGCTTCACATACCCCTTATGAAGCCATGGCTATGCAGGCCAGAAAGAACTGTTAATAAATTTTGGCAACCAACTTTAGATATATATGCTGTTCTTAAGAAGAACAATGCTCTAATTAGGAGAGAAAATATAAAGCTCTATAATATTGCATAAAAATTATCCTAATAAAGGTTTTAAGAAACTTCCAGAAAAATTCAAATTGTTTGAAGAAGATTCTTGGGGAGAATCTACATACTGTATAACCTTATTAAACTTACACCAAATGTAGGAATGGACAGGAAAGTGCTGTACTGTACTCCCCCACCCATCTCTAACTCAGAGCTCAAGATGGACTCCAAAAAGAATATTAACAAAGGTAAGAAGCTAATTAAGTTGTAAACCCTTGGACCTATGTCAGCCCCTTGAATATTACAACATTTGAGCGAGTGTTTGGAACATATAAAAGTGCTCCTAGGCATTCGAATCAAGGAAGAACATAGCCTCAAAAAATTTGTAGTAAAAAGGCTGGGAGTTGGTGACTGTTCTTGTAAAGAGAATCCATTTGAATGGTTCTTGATATTACACCCACCTTATCCATCAGCAGAGCACATACCTGTACTTATTAGTTAACATCCCTGCAATATGCATGACCATGACTGAAGAGAAAAGTTCTGATGCTAGTTTAAACACCTCCACGAGGGAACAATAATGGATAACTATGATACTGCACTGCACTTCTCCTCCAAAAGCTTAGTTCTCACGCTCTTGGAAAATAAAGAAGGGGCTACAAGCACCTTCACCATCATAAGTAATCATCATATATGGAGACCAAACTTGAACACTCGCCATTACTGCCAATGAATGAAAGAGGGAGACTTACCCTCTAGGGGGTTAGATTATCTTATAAGAGAAAACTCTACCTAATCAGCACACAACATACTAAGGTTACTGTCTGCTACCTTTATTTCCCAGCCAATCTGCTAATCTGAATTCAGTCTCAGATGAGTAAGTCACTAACCCAAGGTACAAGAGAGGATATATCCACCACCTGGTTATAGGCTCTGCCAGAAAAAATGCCATTTCTTACTTAAACTCTTCAGCTGAACTCCTGGTGTTACAGAAAAGATTTGTGGAATGCCTGGGGGTCATTATGAGATAGTGACGATAAAGTTGGAGTTACAGTAATATCTCTGTTAGCCGGAAACACTCAAACCCGGAACTCTCCGATAGCCGGAATTGAAATTTTATCGGAAAATTCCTGATTTGGGAACGATTTTCCGAGGGACACGTTTTCAGGAAAAAAATCTAAGAAAAATTTTCTGTTACCTGGAAAATTCCAGGGATGGGGGATTTTTTTCCGGGTTCGAGAGATGATGTAATGGGCAATCTTTGGAACTTCCGAGAACATTTTACCGTTACCCAGAAAATTCCGGGGATGGGGGATTTTTTTCCGGGTTCAAGAGATGATGTAACGGCCAATTTCTGAAACCTCCGAGAAATTTTATCCGTTTCCCGAAAAATTCCAGGATGAGGGATTTTTTTCTGGCTTTGAGAGTCGTCTCATTACCCGAAAATCTCTCATTCCTGAGAGTGCTCTGCACCAATCGTTCCGGCTAACGGAGATATCACTGTATATAGAGCAGTGATGATACAGCTGAGTAAGTATGAGCACCTATGAGCGGACGATGATGATGGAGAGACAAAAGTTTTTATGTTGACAAAATTAATGTAGACATCTAGCAGCACATTGAGTACCAGGAAGAAACTGAACATTATAGAGGTTCTGTACATCACTTTACTAGAAAAAATAATTACACTGGATGGTCTGCAACAGTAGATGCCTTGGTATAACAAATTTGGCCATTTCCCTTCCTCCTTAATATAAACTAACATACATGGAGCCAACTTACTGTTTGTCATTGTTTCTATGCCTTTACTGTTTATATATGGGCTGAACCAACAAGGACTTTTATAGCAAATTTTATTGAATAAATACCCATATAGGGCATACACTTGCTCAAGATTGTGAAAAGTTTACCATATTGTAAATCTACCTTTTCTTTTTTGCCTAAAATAGTAGAACTATACAGTGATCTCCCGGTTAACGAACGCCTCGGTTAACGAATTACCTTCCATAAGATTCTTCACTTCAGTTAAAAAAAATTTCCGTTAACGAATTCCTTACGAATTTTTCCCAACATATTTTCGCCTGCTCACCAGCTGTAGTATTAGTCCGCCAATACAGTAATCGGTTTAAGGGCTTAAATTCGTTACCATTTGAGTAAATATCAAGAAGGTTGTACTATTCAATAATTTTCCAAGTCTTATATTAAAGTTTTTAGTCATTTTAACAATTATTTAACATAATTGAAGTATGTACAGGGAACTAGTTTTTAGCGCACCAAACAACCACTCAACACACCCAAAATGGCGTCAGTGTGTGTCCCTGCTCAGTGGAGGAAGCTTCTTGCTTGAGACTCTCTTGAACATAAACTATTTTTACGTTTTTACAGTACAATTATTGGTCATTCTGAAGTTTATTTTACATATTGACAATATATAATGCAGTGCAGTGTTGATTTAAAGAAAATAATCTTGAATTACACCAAATGAACTAAAATTTTATGGGTGAAATGGCGGCATGGGGTGACTTTTCTTCCACCCCGCTTCCTTCTCTTCTCCCTTCTCCTCCACCCCCACTTCTAATTCCCACCATCATCATCAACCAGGAGCCTTCTACATGCACACCTCAAAGTAAGTGTACTTTACTGCATTTATTTTTAGTTTGTATGTAATTTTCGGTGAACTGGAACCAATTACCCAAAATCCCATTGAAACAATGGTTTCGGTTAACGAACGACCTTCTGGAACGAATTGTGTTCGTTAACCGAGGGACCACTGTACTGTAAGTGAGGGAGGGATATTGCCTGTCATCTCTCGCACAGTCCCTAATTGCTCCCAGACTTACATATGCCAAACAGTACAGTAATGCAAAAATCATATTGTTGTTATAAAATAAAGCAGTTGTGGCAATTTACTATAAATTCTAAACCCTTATTTTGTGTACAGTATACAGTAACAAAATACATCTCAAGAAACGGACTGCCTTCAATTATACTCAATGTGTGTTGTACCCCGGGTCGAGATGTACCCCAGGTGAGGCGTGACACCGCCTTCATACACACGGAGGCATAAAAGTGAGCGGGCCACCAGTGGTACCGGTGTTTCACAAGGATCCATTCACCCCACCTCACCTCGGTATGGCTGGCACAAACATTAAACACACACAGCCGTGGGGGTTTGACAAATAGATCTAAAGATAGAAAAATGAGTCGATCATTTGATCTAGACACAATGTGTATCTATAAAAACAACCACATCAACTTTCTTTGTGCATATAGGACCTGAACACATAGAGTAAACCCCCAAATCCTTAATTTCAATCAGTGAAAATCGATCTATCATATAAACAGTATGATTTCCACTGTGCTGTACTGGGTGACAAGTACTGTATACAGTGTGGGGAATATGGTCACCATGTTACCCCCTCCCAGCCTTACACACATACAGACACAAAAGACAGTAGAAATCATATCTTTTGTTTGATAAATAGTTTCACTGAATATAAAAAAAAGTAATTTCGGATTTAACATAGGAAATTTTATTTTGTGTACAGTACAACATTACAAATACATAAGTCAGCTCAATAACTTGGCCACATCCTGTTGTAATTTGTGCATATCTATACACCACAGATAACCACAACAAAAATATCTTTACAATACTGTATACCGTACAAAATGTACGATATTATCTCATCCTGTACATTGTATCGTAAAAAAAAACATTTTATACAATATACCAGTACTGTACAGCATATTTACGCATTTGTTCAATGCAAATATATTTTCTTAGAAAACAAATGAGCATAAATCCCCTCCAACTCAATTATATCACACAAAAGTATTCACATATTGTCTAGGTTCCATCTTTGCTAATACTGTACAATACAAACCCACCAGAAGACACTAAGATATTTAATTATGTGTCAGTCTCTATACTATCCCAAATTTGTATAATGTACGTATAATTTTTTTTGTATTGTGAAAAGTTTTTGATGGGATAAAAGAAAAGAAA